GCTGTTCCCGCTGCTGCTGTCCCTTCCTTATTATTATTATTTTATCTCCTTTTGTTTATCTCTTCCTCTTCCTCTTCCTCTCCCCTTTCCTCTATCTCCTTTTTCTTCTCCTTTTGTCTCCTTTTCTTTCTCCTCTTCCTCCCCTATCTCCTTTTATCCCTCCATCTCCCTCTTCCTCCCCTCTCCCTCTCCCTCTCCTTCTCCCTTATTATTATTATTATTTATATTATTATTATTATTATTATTATTATTATTATTATTATTATTATGTACAACCTTAGCAAAGGTAGCAGCAACAAGAAGAGGGAAAGTAAGAGTAGCATCAGCAGTAACCTTAACATGATGAAGGAGACAGTCCCTATTATTATTATTATTATTATTATTATTATTATTAATATTATTATTATTATTATTATTATTATTATTATTATTATTATTAATATAATTATAATGATTATTTCCCTTAATTTTTCCCCAACTAATTGCCTCATCAGGTCTAGCACCTGAATCACTACCATCATAATCTGATGAAGAATTAAGATAAATAGCATAATCTGCTCCTCCCCTCATGAGGTGTGCATTGCATAGATGATGTTTAGGTGTCCCTCCCCCTAGCAAGAGGAGACCACTGCAGCAGCAGGAGGAGACAGCGTCATTTAATTGTCTTATATCCTTAACTATATCTATTATTAATTTATATTTATTCCTATATGTATTAAAATATATATTATCACCTATACTACCATCTGTTATACCAGGACAATATATTTTTATATTATTCTTATAACACCAATATAATAAACTTTCTTCTCTTATTTCTTTTCCTATTGTATCCTCTATTGCCTTACCTAAATATTCTATTAATTCTGATGGACTTAATACACATTCCCATAAACATATTTCTTTTGCTGCTGCTCCTGCTGCTTCTGCTTCTGCTGCTGCTGCTCCTGCTGCTGTTGTATCTATTTCTTTTGTATTTGTTATATTTCCCTGTGAATTAGTACTATACGTATAACCATTTATTTGATTTGTATTTGCAGCAGCATTAACATTAGCATTAGCAGCATTAGCAGCAGCATTAGCAGCAGCAGCAGTATAAAGTTTCTGTTGTTGTATATGAATTAATTTATCTAATTGTGGTTGTATCCAATCCTCAAATAAACAATAATTATGATTAGGTATAATTAAATTACCAATTCGATTCCATCCATTTTTTCGAAGTTTATTTCCATTTAATTGAAAATTTCCAATTATTGTTGGTGATAGACATTTAATTATATCCTCTTCGACTCCACCAGCTGATGTAACAATTCCTCGAATTAATTTATTTCGAGCCAAAAATACCAAATTCTCACGAAGTCCACAACTTATCATATTTGATGTACAACTCACCCATATCGAACAACTATACTTATAACGATCCTCCTCCTCCTGCTGCTCCTGCTGCTCCTGCTGCTGCTGCTGCTGTTGTTGTTGTTGTTGTTGATTGGTGGTGGTAGAGGTTGTTGTTGTTGTTGTTGTTCTTGTTGTTCTTGTTGTTGTTGTTGTTGTTGTTGTTGTTGTTGTATTTTCTTGTTTCTTGTATTGTTCTTGTTGTTCCTCTTGTTCATCTTCGCTACTGCTGCTGCTGCTGCTGCTGCAGCTGCTGCTGCTGCAGCAGTGATCGGGTTGTAAACCATGTTGTTGTAATATTTCTGTGATTTTTTTTTTTTTTTCTTTTTTTTCTTTTTTTTCTTTTTTATATAATTTCTTTTCTTCTTTTGTAGGGGGACGCCAATTAATCATTTTTTCTGCTATTTTTATTGCCTTCCCTAGCTCTGTTGCTTGGAATCCTGTTGTCAGCAGCTGCTGCAGCAGCATATCAAGAGTAGGGGGAGCAGCAAAATTGCATCCCTTAACTATTAATACATCAGGAGGTAGAGGAGTTGATGCCTGCAGCACAGCAGCACTTGCTGCAGCAGGATAACTTGAATCTGTTGTATATGTACTACAATATCCTATATTGTTGCTGCTGCTGCTGCTGTTGCTGTTGCTGCTGCTGTTGATGTCTGCTGCTGATTGAGTTGTTCCTACTGCTGCTGCTGCTGTTTTTAAATGTCTTGTTGATTCTATTGGTACTCCTACTGCTGCTGCTGTTGCTGCTGTTGTTGGTGCTGCTGCTGTTGCTGCTGCTGGTTTAGACTCGACACGAGAACCCGATACAGGAGCAACAGAAGATGCTGTTGTTGCTCCTGCTGCTGCTGCTGCTGCTGCTGTTGCTGCTGCTGCTGCAGCAGATGAAGAAGAGTTCCCATTCAACATCCTTAAGAAATAACTAGACAAAGACCTCTACCTCCTTAGGGGAGCAGCAAAAGGAGTCCCCTGCAGCAGCAGCAGCAGCAGCAGCAGCAGCAGCAGCAGCAGCAGCAGCACCGGCACTTGGCGTCAGCTTAAGGTGGTACTGCATGCAGCAGCAAATAAATAAATAAATATACAAAAACATAAAACACTAGCAGCTAATAATTTGTTGCTGCTGCTGCAGGTGTGGGGCCCCCCGCATGCAGCAGCTGCTGCTGCAACAGCAGCATCGATCCGCTGGAGCTGATGCAGCAGCAACGACTGGGCCTCAGAGAGCGTTGCTGCTGCTGCTGCTGCTGCAGCTGCTGCTGCTGCTGCTGCCGCGTGTAAACTATATTAACTAATGCAGTGTGTTATACCTGCTGCAGCAAAAAAGAAAAATATTTGTTGTCTTAGCTGTCAGCAGTATAGAAGGCATCATATGTTGCTGCTATTTGTGCAGCAACTCGTTGCTGCTGCTGCTGTTGCTGCAGCAGCTGCTGCTGCTGCTCCAGCAGCAGCTGCTGCTGCTGCTCGCCGTGTTACTCAGTAGAGGCCCCATAATTCTCTAACTTTTGTCGCCTCCTAAATAATAATTTCTTCTTTTATATTTAATTATATACTAGCAGCAAACGAATATATATTGCTGCTGCTGCCAAGACCGCTGGTGCTGCTGCTGCTGTTGCTGCTGCTGCTGCAGCAGGTACTGCTGCAGCCGCCTCCCGGCGGCCGACAGCAGCAACACCGCTACGGCAGCTCCTTCCATACGAATATCCTTGACCACAGCAGCAGCAGCAGCAAGACAGTAGCAGCACAACGGCTATTGCAGTAGCCAGGACAGCTGCAGCAACACCAGCAGCAGCAGCAGCAGCAATAGAGCTGCAGCAACAATGCACAGCACAGACTTACAGGCAGCCCGCCAGAAGGCGCGCGCAGAGGCCCCTCATGCTGCTGCTGAATGTCTGCCCATTACTCTCTCGCTGCAGCAGCCAGCAGCAGCAGCAGCAGGAGGTGTACTGTATGCAGCAACAAAAACACTGCAGCAGCTGAGACTGGTGGAAGGCGCGCAACGCCTCCTTAGGCTAGAGAATATACAGCAGCAACACAGCAGCAGCAGCAGCAGCAGCAATGGCACAACCAACAGCAGCAACGGCATCACATCTAATGGCAACAGTAGCAGCAGCAACAGCAGCAGCAGCAGCAAAAAAGAGGCAGTGGTAACGATCCGCAACGCCTCCGCCTTAGGTACTGGGGAGGCGCTGCCTCTTATGCATTTTGTTGCGAGTGCGGATGTATGGTGGGCATTAGGGCTGGCCCCACAGCAGCAGCAGCAGCAAGAGCAGCAGCAGCAGCAACAGCAGCAGCAACAGCAAGGGCAGGGTTCTCAGGTGTCAGTGGTTGCTTCGCTGCTGCCGCTGCTGCATGCGCCTGTTACATGCACAGAAATTGAGTTGCTGCTGCTGCATGTGTATACAACCGCACCACCGCAGCAGCAGCAGTCCTTATCCCGTGCCTCAAGCGAAGCAGCAGCAGCAGCAGCAACAGCAGCAGCAGCAGCAGCAAACTTGAGTGTATCCCCAAAGCCCCCTGCTTCTTGGTGGGCGGAGATCCTTGACGGGAGCCCAATAAATCTCCCGATGCACAGCAGCAGCAGCAGCAGCAGCACGAACATGAACATGAACATGAGCAGCAGGATGAGCAGAAGCCGCAGCAGCAACAGCAGCAGCAGCAGCAGCAGCAAAGGCAGCAGGACCTGCGTCCTAAGAGAGAGTCTTAGACGTGTTGCTCGCCTCTCTCTTCTTTGCCGATTCTTTATGCAGCAGCAGCCGCTGCAGTTCTCCTTAGGTGGCTTCTGCTGTATATGGATAGCAAATGTCCTTAAGCCAGAAGCAGCACAGCAGCAGCAGCAGCAGCAGCAGCACGAGCAGCAGCACGAGCAGCAGCAGCAGCAGCAGCAGCAGCAGCAGCTTTATAGAGTTACGCCTGAGACAAAAGTTCGACTGTCACTTCATCCACAGGCAGACATCTATGGGCAGCAACAGCAGCAACAGCAGCAGCAGCAGCTGCAGCAGCAGCAGCAGCAAGAGCAGGACTTGCTGCTAGAACCAAAGGAAGGAAACCCAAAGGGCCTTCAAAGGTGGGCTAACCGACAGAAGCAGCAGCAGCAGCAGCAGCAGCAGCAGCAGAAGCAGCAGAAGCAGCAGCAGGGACAGAGAGGCTAGGGTTTAGGGTTTAGGGTTTAGAGTTTCTTATGACTGTGTCGTCGTCATTTGCTGCTCTGTATGCTTTGCTTTGCTGCTGCTGTTGCTGCTGCTGCTGCTGGTGCTGCAGGTTGGCAGGTAGTGGGGCATTGCTGCAGCAGGTATTTTGGCAGTTGCTGCTGCCGCTGCTGCGTCCTGATGCATTTACGGTGTATGGACTGCAGCAGCCAAATGGTTTGCTGCTGTGGGGCCCCCCAGGGACAGGGAAGACATATTTAATGAAGGCAGTAGAGGAGGAGATGCAGCTGCTGCAGCAGCGGCTGCAGCAGCACACCGGTGCAGCACAAGACAGGAGCAAGGTAGCAGCAGCAGCAGCAGCAGCTGCTGCTGCTGCTGCAGCAGGACTAGATGGAAAAAATCCAGATATAGATCCAGCAACTGCTCACTCCGAGCTGCTATTCTCTGTAGTGTCTGGTGGCTGGCTGCAGCAGCAGCAGCAGCAGCAGCAGCAGCAGCAAGTTGTAGTTGTGCTGCCTGAAGTAAGACTAGTGCATGCAACAGAACTTGTTGGATCAGCAGCAGGAGAGACAGAGGAGAATATTCATCGTCTATTTGATGATTGTGCTCGTCGCAGCAGAGAGCGCATGCAACAAGCAGCAGAAGCAGCAGCAGCAGCAGCAGCAGCAGCAGCAGCAGATATACGTGTAGTAGGGGGACGCACGCTTCTATTCATCGACGAAATCGATTCTATTTGTCCGCATAGACCATCAGCAACAGAGGTAACCAATTACAACTGTCTCCTTTTTTTATTTATTTGTCTCCTTTTTTTTGTCTCCTTTTTTTTGTCTCCTTTTTTTTCTCCTTTTTTCTCTCCTTTTATTTGTCTCCTTTATTTAATTGTCTCCCTTTTTTATTTTTTTTCCTCCTTTTTTTTTGTCTCCTTTTTTTGTCTCCTTTTTTTTTAACTGTCTCCTTTTTTTATTTATTTGTCTCCTGTTGTTGTTCACCCTGCTGCTGTTGCTGCTGCTGCTGCTGCTGCTGCTGCAGGCAGCACGCCGTCAAGTAGCTGCCCTGCTGTCCTGTTTAGATGGATTAAGCAGCAGCCCCTCTACGTTTGTTGTTGGTGCAACAAATCATAAGGAGACAATTGATGAGGCAATAAGGAGAGCAGGCAGACTTGAATTAGAGATCGAGGTAACCTCCTCCTGCTGCTGCTGCTGCTGCTGCTGCTGTTGTTTGTGGTGCTGTTGGGGTGGATGGTGCTGCTGCGGTTGAGAGGGACTGTTTGCTGCTGCTGCTGCTGCTGCTGCTGCTGCGGTGGTTACGTTGCTGCACGAATCTACTTTACATAGTTGAATAAAATTGTTGCTGCTGCTTTTGCTGCTGCTGCTGCTGCTGCTGCTGCAGTTGGGTGTCCCTTCTGCTGCTGAGAGACTAGTGATGCTGCGGCAGATGTTGCGGCAGAGACCTCATGACTTAACAGAAGAAGATATCCAAGAGGTAAGGAGACACTTTATCTGTCTCCTTTTTTTCTTCTTACTGTCTCCTTTTCTTTGGATACCTTATCTTGTTGCTGCTCCTGTTCCTGCTGTTGCTGTTGCTGCTGTTGCTGCTGCTGCTGCTGCTGCAGATAGCGGATAACTCCCAGGCATATGTTGCTGCTGATATGGCATTGCTAATGCGTACAGCAGCAACTTGTGCTCTTAAAGAAAGCCTCCTCAACCAGCAGCAGCAGCAGCAACAGCAGCAGCAACAGCAACAGCAGCAGCAGCAACAGCAGCAACAGCAACAAGACCAAGACCTATTAACAAACGAAGATACCAACAACAACAACAACAACAACAACAACAACAACAACAACAACCCCACCACCAACCACCCGTCCCCCCATCCCCCCCACCACCACGACAATCAGCAGCAGCAAGAGCAGCAGGAACAGCAGCAGCAGCAGCAGCATCATCTATCAATTCGTCATTTTATGCATGCATTAAGTATAATTCGTCCATCAGGTATAAAATCAATAACAATAGAAATACCAAGAATAAATTGGATAGAAATAGGAGGATATAAAGAAATAAAAAAAGAATTAATTGAATATATTGATTGGCCTATTCAATACTTTTATTTATTTAATTTATTTAAACTTCTTCCTCCTAAAGGTATTCTACTCTATGGACCACCAGGATGTAGTAAAACTCTATTAGCTAAGGCTGTAGCCACACAGACCAAGATGAATTTCCTCTCTGTTAAGGTAAACCCTAAACCCTAAACCCTAAACCCTAAACACTAAACCCTAAACCCTAAACACTATATAGTAAATAGTATAGGATGTAGTAAAACTCTATTAGCTAAGGCTGTAGCCACACAGACCAAGATGAATTTCCTCTCTGTTAAGGTATAATTGGGATTTGGGATTTGGGATTTGGGATTTGTGATATATCATTTATCATATCCTACATCATTTTGTAATAATCGATTCCGACATCGGTGTGTCTGGTTCCACTTAAAGGAGAGACAATTCCATCCATTAATTGGGATTTGGGATTTGGGATTTGGGATTTGTGATTTGGGATTTGGGATTTGTCTATATAGTATAGGATGTAGTAAAACTCTATTAGCTAAGGCTGTAGCCACACAGACCAAGATGAATTTCCTCTCTGTTAAGGTAATTAACCCTAAACCCTAAACCCTAAACCCTAAACACTATATAGTAAATAGTATAGGATGTAGTAAAACATTATTAGCTAAGGCTGTAGCCACACAGACCAAGATGAATTTCCTCTCTGTTAAGGTAGGTAATTAACCCTAAACCCTAAACCCTAAACCCTAAACACTAAACCCTAAACCCTAAACACTATATAGTAAATAGTATAGGATGTAGTAAAACTCTATTAGCTAAGGCTGTAGCCACACAGACCAAGATGAATTTCCTCTCTGTTAAGGTAATTAACCCTAAACCCTAAACCCTAAACCCTAAACACTA